CCCTAAAACCGCCAAAATCCCTAAACCCTTTCTCTTCTTCCCCCTTTTCAATTTTGCCGTTATTGGTATTTTTAGAGTTGTTTATAAAAATTATACAAAGTCTCATAAGGAAATACAGCTTCGCTATCAATCATATAGCGACGCGTGGTAAATATCTCAGGCCCTACCGTGGACCATCTCACAGAGTACTACCACCAACAAATATGCGGTAGACGTGGAGTTTATTTTGTTTTTGTCGTCTTCTGCTTTTCTGAATGAATATTGCTTTATCTTAATTTTGTAAAGAAGCAAAAAGTGGAATAAAGATTCAAAGAAAAACAAAAAATTTGTAGCGGGTAATGTAATTTTACTCTTCGAGATAATGTGTGTTTCTTCGAGAGTAACAAAATAAGAACAACATTATAAGAGTAAACTGTGAAGAAACTGAAACAAAATGTCTATAACAAGAGAAGACCTAAGAAAAATGTCTTCAAAGCTTCCCCAAAACCGAACATCTTTCGAGTTAAAATTGTATGGATTGATGATTGATTACCTGAACCTAACCTGTTTGGGTTCTCTTCTTAAACGTTCTTCTTCTTCTCCAGATTCGAAATGACAGCTCTTTGCTTATGCTTCCAAGAATAGATTTTACCGGGAAAAGCCCACCTGAGCAACCGCTCCCATGAGAAGCAGATGATGAACATAAGTGAAGCCCAGAGGAGAAGCTTATCCCTCAGACCTTGAGGTAGAGGAACCAGCTTGAGCGAATCGTTCAGGTCCCTAAACAGATCAGAGGCGATCACGGTGAAGAACCCTGCTCCAGCAACGAGTGCGTAGAAGAACGGTTTGTTTTCTCTGATACTCTGGTTAAAGGGATGTCCCATATAGTTCACAGCAAAAGTTGCAACCTGAAGCATCATGCTCACCATGTACGACACCGTGTTCGTCAGATTAGGATGGAATGATGCGTCTGGTTCGATGCATTCCTCAGGCATGTGTTTCTCAGCTTCCTTCACGGCGTAGATCAAGAAGGTAATGTGAACCGCAAACTGACCAAGCAGAGAGAGGAAGAGGTACACGGAGAAGACACTCGGGTGAGGTCGCTCCGCAGAGAGGGTTTGAAGCGGCCGAGCATGAGAGATGAAGAGGAAGAACGCAGCTGTTAATACGCCGCTGATTGTAGCCTGGACATCCCCGAGCTTCACACCGTCTAAGTACATAACACTCAGGACATAAGCTGTGGCGAGACAGTTCAGACCGAGAATTTTGAACATCTGAAGAGTTGTCACAAGTGTACTACGGCCCTGCCGGATTATGTCTGTCACTGGGGCAACCGACGCATGTTTAGCTGTGAAGGGAGATGCCATTGATGCATCCCCAAGTTTGACTAACGGAGCTGACCGGCCATCACCCTCATCATTGTTTAGTTCATCCATCATCTTCTTTAGCTTTTGTCTCTGCAATTCCGCAGCAGTTAGGTGGCGGTTTTGGGGGGTTGTCTTTCCCCTTGATGATCCTTCCCCATTCTGAACTATAGTTTTGCTTGCTGGTTCTGATGGCAGTTTGGACTTTTTTGGCTTCGACTTTGGATCATCTTTAGATGATTCCGATCCAGTTGAGAAGGGAGTTACAGAATTCAGTAAGGCAACTCCAACGTGGGCCTTGAAAATGAAAACAGCAAAAATTGAATCAAAAGAAAGAAAATAAAGCATATGCATCATGTTCTTGGCATTTGAAATCCTAAAGCTCAATCTTCCCAATGAAATTCCAATGTGTTACCTGCTTCAATGCTCCGACATCATTTGTCCCGTCCCCACACATCAGGGTCCCCCTTCCAACCGCTTTGAAGGTGGTTAAGATTAGCTCCTTCTGTTGTGGAGCAACTCTGGCAAAAACCTGAAGAAAAATGATTGAAGTTTAGACTCTATTATTTTATAGGTACTAAGAAATACTAAAGCAAGTGACAAAGATTAGAAGGTGTATTTACCTTAACAAACGGAATGACTCGCAAAACAGCAGATGTAGCTTGTAGCATTTCAATGCTGTCACCTCCAATGCACAAATCACGTGTCTCTGCAAGGGTTTCAATCTCTTTGTCACTGAAAACAAAAACCAGGTTATCCTTTCTTAGTCAGAAACAGGGTAAATGCATTTAAAGAAACCATCGAAGTGTCAGATCTTTTCTTTTTGAGCAAATCATCGTAACAGACCAAAATACTTCCAAAATCACCACGGCATATACTGCTGGTATCATTTGACTACGTAAGATTGTACAAGATGAAGATACGAATTTGCTTTAATTCTAGAGTAACTGTGATTAAAATTGACTGCACCTGTAGGGTATGATCTCCTTCTCATCAGGTGACATCCACTTGTATTCGTCACCAGTCCTCGACCGACCAAGAATTAAAACTGGGTTTGATACAATATGCACTTGGCTTGCAACATGACAAGCTGTCAAAGCTTGATCCCCTGTAATCATCACCTGAAATCATGAAAGCAGGATAAGACATCCCGTGTATCTAATTATATAAGAAAGAATGAGCACCCTGCAAAACAATGACATGAAGACTGAAAAATGGAAATATAACAAAAAAAGTTATATAATCTATCCTCAATTATATTTTCTTAATTCAATAATGAGATAACTGATTTGAAGGTAATTTGTACTGCGTGGAAAAGGGACTGAATGAATCACTGGCACTGATAAGAGGTCCACTGATACAAGTGTGTGCGCATTATAAGAGATACAGTATAGATTACCAAATCATGGGATGAATTCTTCAACTCCAAGAGAACGGTGGCCGAATCTGGTCTAATGGGGCAGTTGAAGACCTGTGATGCATGATTAAGCCATTACGAACCAATGTTGATACCAGACAATCGATTACAGCTCAAAAATATGAAGCAAAGCTGCATAAAAGCATATAAAGCATAATGCCACTACCGCAAACCCAGCAAAAGTAAGGTCACTTTCAACAGCATCTCTGTCCATGTCTCTAGCTTCACTGGCCTGGTTATCAGTATAGAGAATGTGTAAGGTAAAACTTAAAAGCATGTGAGCAAAAGCTTGCATAATCCAGAATAAAAAAACGCTGCCTGTTTATCTTGTTAACAACCAAAAGAACGAATCAAGAGGCATGATAAGTGCAAATCCACAGATAACTAACTATTCGACCAACAGACCTTAGGAGCCCAGACTTCTAAATTTAGGTTGTACATTAGCAATTCAGTAGCTTAGCTTAGCAGTAAATTTTATTGTCTAAGTCGGTACGGCTTTATAGGTAAAATGACATATATAAAAAAAAATTCAAGAAGCCAATAGGTACATGAGTTAGAGCTTGGTTAACTACCATCATCTCAGGAAGTCGTTTAAATGCAAGAGCTAGAACTCGAGACCCTTGGCGTGTGTATCTCTTATATGTTTCGATATATGATGCGGGCACATTCACAAGCCGATCTTGGATGGTCTCTGGTGCACCCTGACAAAGAAGTTAACTATAAGCATCCAACAGTTGGATTTACTGGTAAAAAGTTTGGTTTACGAGAATGATGTATTAAGCAGACCTTCACAAACGCAAAATATTCCTGCTGAATACAAACTATAACTGACATTCTCTTCAGATGCGAAGCAAAATGGTATCTCTGCATAATCTGCACCGAGTTGCCATTTCCTCTGCAGCAGATAACATATTACAATGTGAAAGGGCTTATTCATATGTGCACAGAACGCTCTTCACATAGATATTACAAAAAAATTACCAACATTCAAGGCTTGGCTAGTGCAAGCATATTTTCAAGGTTAAATAGAATTAGAGATTCTTAGGTATTTAGGGAGAAACCATTAAGGTATATATGATATAAGGTTCAAAGAAAGAGATCGGTACGCAAGATGCGAAGACATAGAATGAGGAGTGAAAAAAAATATTGAAACGAAGACTAAAGCATTATCCCAGGTCATGCTACTACTATCTTTAATTCGGAAAGCAAGCGCTTTACAAGCAGACATCATTTTTTCATCCACGCTACCCAGAATATCCCTCTAAAGGAACAGAAAATCATTAACAGAACCCCGCAACATCAACTTTAATGAAGAAACCATTTTTCAATGCAGTATACATCGTTTTATTAGCCCCCATTCTCAAAATCCATATGCATTCACAGGGCTAAATAGAAATGTCAACGTACACAAAAAATCAGAACAATTTGATAAAAAGATTAATAAAAATGTCCATAATTACCTTCTAGGCAAGGCCTTTTCATCAGCTTTGTAACTCCAGTCAATTCCTTTAAGTGCAGCCTTCTCAAGAGGATCACCAACCTGTAAGCATTGAAAAACAGAGTAAAACATGACAGGTTTTTTGTAATGATGATTAATTATGCAAAAGCAAAGCATAAGCAGTTTCAAAAAGATGACCATTAGCAAACTTATCATTTATTACATGCGCACTCGTAAATATCATTCATTTCAAAGTAAGAAGTATACTTCATGGAAAACAAATTTCGGAATTTAATAATAACATGTGAGCATGGATCACAAGAATCTGAAGAATACAAAATCTAAGACTAGAACA